TAAAATGTCTGTCATCAGATTCAAGATAAGGAGTTATTATCACAAGAAATATGGCCAGAATTTGTTGAACTAGTACAAAGTACAAGAAGCACAATGGCACAGAACCTTAAATAACTAGCAGCAATTAACAGACAATTCCTCTGAACACAGAGGAACCCATTCTCCCACTGATAGTTGATCATGGCATACTGGTTTTGAAGATCTCATGGGCCAGCAGTGAATCACAAGAACATTATGCTGATCAGACATAGGTTCTGCAGTTAATCAGTTCAGGGAGTGGACCACAAACAGATCAACATGTTTTGCAAAGGGTTGTTGTCTCCCACACACCTGGTTATCTGTATTATCTGGTATCCTGTAGAGCTGCTGAACAAAATCTGTTTAGCCGAACAGATGATAAGATCTGTTAACATAGCTTTTATTAGATTTACTAAACTACTTAAACATACTAATAGAATTAGTAATTTCAGCAAAATATGCTGAAGTAAGAGTATCTCTAATTAGAAATGTCTGTTTTTAAATTCCCAGATAAAATAAAAAACATAGTAGTGTCTAGAGATGAGCACTGAGATTTTCTTTCTTGGGGTAAAAATGTCAGAACAGTAGAACTTTTCACAGAAATATCCCCATGCCACGATCAGTGGTACCTTGATGAAGTTACAGAACCAGTAGAACATTCCATACTACATGTGATAAGAGAAATATGTATGATACTACAGATGAAACAGACACATAGGATACTTAATTTGTTATCTAGAGATTTCTTCTGTTCTCCTGGGGAGGGAATGCATTACATGCATCTAGAATTAAATAACGCACTGTCTTAAGAGTGGCATAGGGTTTGACATAGTCGCTCCGGTCTGGTTGGCTTGTCCAATATTACACAGTTCGCTTTTGCTCCAACTGATCTGAAGGAAACCAACACAAGCAGGAAGCACAACACTGAGCTGAGGCAGGACAAATAATTCTCAAAACACTTCAAGTGCAGTTGAAAGCAGAGGTTATTGGATATCTCATGTGAACACACAGTTCACTGGAGATTCCCAAATCAAAGCAGACTGGCTGCACTTCTAAAGACTCTCCAGGATGGAGGATACTTTTTCTTTTCTTGCTACTTACACAAAATGTCATTTAAAGGAGGCTCAAGAAGAGAAATCAATGGTGATAAAGAATATACAAGTGAATAAGGGCTTGAACGAAACACACATAACCCTAGAGCAGAACTGGATGCATCCAGGGAATTCTGTAACTAACTGAACCTTCTCAAACAGCATTATACATACCTGTCTGCCAGTGATAAATGCTTGAATAAACACAGAAAAACAGAGGCTGGGATTCTACTAGTAGCTCATTTGTAGTCTAGAACTAAAGCAGCCCGGCCTGGTGCAATGGTGCACATCAGAGAATGAAAAAAAATAGCAATTTCCTGCCTTGCAGAAGGGTTAAGAGGAAAAATCAGGAAGCATGTGGCCTAAAAACATAAAATCAGTTTGGGCCTGTCCTCAGAACTGGTAGAAAAGTACTAAGATTTAGGTTCCAGGGCAGTTGTGTCAGGATGGAAGGTAACTAATGGTCCATAGCACCTCTGACATTATAAATTCGCATGTAATACAGTGTGTATCTTCTAGCAGGGCACTCATCACGCAACCTTCTCGTCCTCATTACAGAGGCATCCTTCCCATGCATCCCATGCTGGTGAAATGACATCCATTCTTAGGTGTCACTCTCAGAACTGTCCTTTTCCACAACTCTAATAGGGTATAAGGAAACAGCGGGCTCTTTAATCTGAATATAGCCAGATAGAAACATTTTTTATATGTAGAATTTACATGATGTCTGTGGGCAAAACAGTCTCAACTCAGAGAGCTTTCACTTAACTGAATGATTTTTAGCAAAATTATCTAATCACTGATTTGGGTATCGAGAAAAAGAAAATACAAGTAAATAAAGACTTAAGTAAACCCATTTTTTTTCTCCTTCTCCAAGTGCAGGTTAAGCCAAACTCTTAACCTCTTTTTTTCAAAGTTCCACCTTCCCTCATTTTTGCTGTGGGTTATATTCAGCCCATCCCAATCCCTTTGGTGAGGCAACCAGCAGTACAGGAAGTCAGGGTCATATGTCAAATTATTTCCTTCTGCTGATCCCTGGCTTTCCACAACTTCTTGTGTCTTCATGGTTTTCCTCTGCTCCTGTGTCCCTGCCTCAGCATGGCTCACAGTCCTTCAGCGGTGTCCCTGCTTCATCGTAGGTTACCATGGCCCCAGGGCTTTCCCTGCCCTAGCTTGGGCCACCCGTGCTTGCAGTCCCTCAGGATTGTCCCTGCCCAGATGTGGGTCCCTCATGGACACAGTGCCTCAGGGTAGGTTGCCCACAGCCACAGTCCCATCAGAGGCAAATCCCCTTTGGGCATAGCCCCAACTTCACAGACTGTGTCCTGCCTGCCCTCAGCAGCATCTTCCTCTGACTACTCTCAGGGGGTCCTGCCTGCATCAGGGAACATCAGGCCTCTCTGACTGGCTGACATTTTGTCTCCCTGTGGGCTGGAGTCTGTTTTGACCAGCACCAGAAATAGATTCTTCCATGACAAGAGCATTTAAACATAGCCAATTGGATGTTAATGATACTGTAATCTGCTATCTAACCCCTGCTCCCCGCATCCACACTCCAGAATAAAAGAGATACTGAGCACAAACAGGGTGGGAACAGAAAACTGAAGAAGATCTAACATCTGGGACAACAGGACAATAAAAAAGAAGCTAATCAACTCATATGTAACATACAGTGTCTGAATACTCTGTTGTTTCATATAATCTGACAACAAATCAACATATCTTGCATGACATGCCTACTCAAAAGGAACAACAAAAAATCACCAGTCCTTCCAGTCTCAATATGGGTTTATGATAAAGACCTTGACTGTGGTACAGACACGTTGCATGCTCTGAGGATGCTTTATTATTTGTATTCACACACAGCAGTGTTATCACACATTGGGCCACTCTGTTGTCATTTGGGTACTTTGACACTAGTGCAATTCTCTGGGCTCTATTTTCCCTCAGTTTTTATTCATGCTGGATTGCTGCACTGACTTCAAAGGCAACATTGTTGACTCATATGGGAAGAGAGATTTATGCTTATGGGATCGTGCAACAGCTGATTTGCAGAAATAGAACAGTAGACAGAAAGCTTCACTAAGAAAACTCCTAGGAAGCATCATGTAAGAGTGTTTGATCTGCACCACATGATCCCACCTATAAATCCAGAGCAGTCTGGGGTTGGAAATAGGTAAGAAGCAGCGGTGATTTGACACAGCTGACCTGAAGCTGGCTGAGCAGAAGTGTGCCACTGAGCATTGAGTCCATCATCCATAGGCTTTGAAATATGGTGAAATTTCAAAGTACAACCATAGTCTGAAAATTCTTTAAAGAGGAATTGGGTTTTTAGCATTCTCAAGTTCTTCTGGGAATTGGACTGAGTCAATAAGATGCATTTATAATTCAGGTACCTTAAACGCTAGTCATATTTGCTCCTGCTCTACCAATTTTTGCTCAATTTTTAATAACTCATTGGACTTTGATCAATTTCAAGGTCATTTCTATCGAATAATCTGGAGACTTTGTCACCAGCTTTCCGGATGTCATTATATTCAGCCTGAGAAAAATAATTTCTTAGTTAGCATGTGAAATGCTAAGTATCTTTCAAATATTCAGCACCCTGTACATTCAGAATGATTTGTATCAGCCCAAACTATTCTCCCAGAGAGAGAATTATTAGAAAAGGTTGTGCTGCAGTTGCAATGATCCAGGTAAGGAATGTGACTTTTATAACTCCTGGCACTACTGAGCTACTTTCACCTGTAGTTTCAGTGCCACTGAGTACCACTGACAAAGGAAGGATCTGCAAGTTAACTTAGTCCAATACTACAAGACATCAAATACGACATTTCAAATGATACCCAGAAGTGGATGACATCCAGCAAGGAGCAGATATGACCAGGGAAAGCCAGAGAAGTATTTTTTCAGATCCTTATTCCTCCTCCTGATGGAGAAGACCTTATAAAGTGTTAAAAGTAACTTCAAGCATAGTCATAAGAGATGCTTTCACAGAGAGGTGGATTCCTTGCAAAAGTTAACATTAGAAGAAGTAATAGGAACCCACAACAGTGAGACTTTTAAATTTGTTACAAGTGCCACAAAGTCTGTCAGGGAAGCCTAGCACTATGGTTATGTCAACGGTAGGGTAGGTAATCTTTCTGTGCATGTGAGTCCAGTGAAAGCCCCTCCTGGCCCCAAACCCAAGCCAGGACTAGATCAGCTGACTCATCTCTCTCAGACAGTCCTGCACAGAAAGCAACCCAGAATTGCAGGTCAGAAGGGTATCGTGGCACGTGTCAGCTCAGATCCAGCTGTCTGAAATCAGGACATGTAGGTGCTCTCCATCACGTACAGTCAGGATCTGGCAATGGAGGCACAGAATCCCCATGAAGTGCAGAAGAAAAGACCCTTTATTATTACAGTAGTACATACTTATGATATGGTTCAAGCTCTTACTTCATAATTAGCAAATCAGCAATTAGACAGCTATCTCCCTTTTCTCCTATCAGCATAGGACCACTCTAACACACGCTGTGCAGACCAATCAACTTCTCGTTCATGCGCTGCCCATGTGACGGTAACATCTCACAGTTCAGTGTTGTAACTCTGTTGTTTTTCCCTGCCACGTTGGCGCAACTTGGCAGTTTCCTATCTTTCTCCCAAGTCCTGTTTCTCATCAAAGCCTTGCTGCTTCTCAGGGATTTCACAGAGCTGACCATCTCCCACATCAGTGTGTGTCCCCTCCCTCAAACCACAGACTGTATTTTTATTAACCCAGTAGTACAAGTGACTGTAAGGACCAGCTAGCATGCAAAGTAAGGACAGATCAATGATGAATTGTACTCCTTTTTTTTTTCTTTTTTTGCTTTTAATGTAGGTATTAAATAAGTAGCAAGACAGAACTTACATGAGCATCAAACTCAGTTCAAGCAAGGATTTGTTCACGCTTTAGCAGGTTAGACTGACCTGTCTTCAAACAGCTGATGTAGTTCTGTAAACCAGAATGGAAGAAAAACTTGTCGGATAGGTGCTGAAAGTGTTACGCCACAGAAAAGATAAAAAGTACACAGTACAGTATTTCAGACAGTTTTGCTGAATCACCTTTAAAAGCCTAGACATTAACTCTTTTGCAACATACAATTAACATATTAATAGAGTATAAGGGAACATAACTGGTAGAGTTAGCTTTCTTCAGGACAAATTGTCTGGAGGAAAATATTTAATACCCACGTCCACAAGGTAATCTATCCAAGGTGCTATTGGATGGACATGTCAAAGAACATAGAGCAAAAAAATGATCTATAATCAAAACCAGTCATAAGTAGACAAAAGTATAAATAAGCAAAACACAATAAATATATTGACATTGTTTTTTCTAAAACACCTTATACTCCACCAGTGCCATTATAAAGCCAATTCTGTTCTCCACATATATACAGTGGTAGATTAACAAATGATGTTAAAAGATAAGTATTTGGATCTCTATATACTCCATAAGTCCATTTTACGCATGTGAACTTTAAAAAATGAACAATTCTATGATTCTAGTGAAAAAGATTCTTTTTTTTAAGTTTATTTAACTCTACTTAAAAACAACAAGCAAGAGAGAAAAGCAATTCTCGGGATGGAAATAAGATCATATACAAAGTGAAAAACAGATTAATGGCCACAATTTGTCTGTAGATAACATAAATAGCAGCAGAGCAGAAGCAGAAAAGAAACTTTCAACACCTCCTTTGAAAGCTGATATAAATACATGACATATTTCACAGGGCCACCACCAAATATCACAACCTCTGATTTTTTATTTTCTGATTGTCCTTAGAGCATAAATATATGGGTGGGTTTGGTTTTGTTTTCATTTTTACAGTCTTCTGCACAGCCTAAGTCCATTCAGGACTAGAAATGGATTTAATGACATACCTACCTTCTTCCCTCTATACCAACACATCTGGAATAATGTAGCAAGTTTTCCATGTTTTTCAGATGACAGAGATACAACTGACTAAGAATCCACTCTTTTTTTGGGTACTTATCCAACACAGCCCCCATATCCATGGCTACATTCTCATCAATATTTCTCTAGTGGGGACACCAAACTCTCTAGCTATGCACTGTTCATGTCTACTTTAACAGATTTGGAGCTGTGCCTACCACAAGAACCAAAGAGATGTGATGCATTTCCTTGAGCTTAAGAGCTCATTGCTCTAGTATTTCAAAATGAAATACCTCAGTGATTTGTGTCTACTTTTGGCTCAAGGATATGTGCTACACATCAAAGATATAGATGTGTTAAATTAATGCACTACCATGATTTTAGCATCTACTTTGTCCATTAATTAAGTTTGCTGACATATTAAATACCTTGAATAAAAACATAGTACAAAACCTTTTTTAAAATAAGTTTTGTTCTTCACTTGGTGATGCATTACTTTATTGACTACAATGTGTTACACTCCAAAGCCTAAATGTTTTCTTCAGGACACCAAGTTCTGGCAAATAGAAAAAGCAAATTAATTCCATGTTCTGAATTTTTCTCACACTTAGTGGCTCATTTGTTCTTCAGAATGTCCTTCTTACTAGATGTTTTGCTTTTCTTTCCCCCCAATTAACCCCGAAAAAGTAAAGTTGAGTTCAATGAACTAATGAATTTAACCTCACACAATTCTGTATGATTTTTAAGGTTTCTCTTTTGAGAGTATCATTTTTTATTCTTTATCTATAAATAGATATCACTATCCTCAGTGGTGCAATAACTTCCTCGTTGCATTTTCTTACTGTGATAAGAAATTGAAAAATCCAGGAAAGACTTTGGTTGCTTAGCATGTAACATCAACATCTAAATTCAGAATAAGGTCAAAATTCTAAGGCTGAAAATACTTTATGAAGCACCATGTAAATATAGATGCATACGAACTCACTAGGAACCTCCTTGTTTGTCTTCACATTTCTCTAAGTATTTAGAAGTTTTTTTACACACGTACTCACAAGTCCTTCAGTCTTGCTCATGTTGGTTGCACTATTGTCTCTTCATACATAAACTAAGGATTAGAAACCAAAAATTATTGTACTCAAGCTTCTGTAAAGGATCCATCTAAAAGATAATGAGCTATGAATCACATACTGCCAGGAACAAGCTTTTCATAAAATTTAGCAGTAAGTCTTCTTTCTTTTAATAAATAAATAACATGGGATGCTGTCTCTCTCATTAAATAATATCTTATTGTAACAAGCAGCCAAGGAGGAAGTGAGAAATATGTTTTTAAATTTATATGTTCTACTTATAGGAATACTTTGTAAATAATTCTATAGATGGGAAAAAGGAAAGGCAGTTGTCCTATTCTTAGTTGTGTTTATGTATTTTAAAATAATCATTAAAGCCTCAAAGATCCTTAGGAGGTAAGAAAACAACACAACCATCCCAAAGCAAGAGTTTTATTTGCACAGCTAATGAATCAGATTTCTAATGATGAAACCTTTTTGGGTGGTGTTCCCTCTCCGTCTTTACCTGCTAGTATCTGCCTTCTTTTTAACAATGTAATGTCCCCTTCTCTTTACCACCATCTCCTGTGCAAGTCTAAAAAATTTACCTTTTCATTAAGAACAATAAACTTCAAATATTACATGTTTCAGTAAAAATTCATAATGTAAATGGCATACTTTTTTTTTAATTTAAAAATAAAAAAAAAAAAAAAAGAGATTCAGTTGGGAGGTTGGTGTATTTACGGGAGAAAACTACCATACACCATAGGTTATTTAAAGTACCTTAGGAAGTCTTAACAAGGACACATAGCTCAAAGAGGAAACTGGATAAATGCAAAGATGTGTGTTTTATTTCTAATTTAACATTAAGAGTAATCAGTCATTAGAATTAAAATGCCAGGGCCTATGGTCTCATCTTCATCACTGTGTTTTCAGATCAAGGCTATGGATGGTTGCATAAACTTGATCAGATAAAAATTTTTGTGGTCTCCACAGAGGATTAAACAAAATTAAGTACCTAAAATGAAGCTATAGAGGAGGGAAGACCAGGAGCTCTATTTCTGACCGAATAGTCCACAAAACTGTACATACAGTGTTGACCTGTGCTGACAATGGAAGATTTTTTGTGAATTTTAATATCAATATATTTGGATTCAATATTTTTATGTTGAGTTAGAATGAGTGACAGTCCTCAAATTCATTTTTTTTAATGTCATCAAAGCTGCAAATATATTATACAGCTCTACCTGTGTCATTTAGTTTACTTATGCTTCAAACATATCCAAAACATTTTTTTTAATAATTGTTAAAACTCATAAGTGACCAATATGCACAGTGTCTTCTCTTGGGTTTACACTGTTGTAAAGATAATAAAAATCTGAGGGATTTTTAAACAAAAACTCCATTTTACAAATATCAAAGTCAAGGTAAGGTCTCTAAAATAGGGACTCATAATTATTTTGGCAGTAATTGAAGGAGGAACGCCAGAGAATCAGAATAGCATAATGCCAATTTTCTGAAAAGTGAGCTGTATGAATATCTTTTGTTAGACAGGACTGAATCAGAGATTCTTGAACCCTAATCAAGAATCCAAATCAGTTCTTACCATGCAAAGTTGTTCATAACTAATTTTTTTACAGTTATGGTCCTAGAAACAGGCCTAGCAATTACAGATAGAAACATTCAGTGGCTTTTTTTACTCTAGTTTTAATCTACCTGGAATTATATTTTGATAAATGCACCACCTAGTTATTTAAAAATCAGTCAAGTTATTGTGCTCACCATAATAGCATTTAAGTAATTAATTCTAAAATAGAATATCACTGGAATCCGTAATACATTGCTATATTATAACATAAATGTAGAAGGCAATAAATAAAATACTTAAATGGACATATTAATTTTTAGAATCAAAAGAATAACCATCTCTGAAATTTTATTTATGTTATAAACCCAAATTAGATTTTATTAGTAATAAATTTTCATCGTCTATGGCGTATCTATGAGGCAATAAAATGTTGTAGAGAAACTATCTTTCTGAAAGATACTGTGGGTAATAAATATCATTTGTCTGAGAAAATTTGAGTATAGCTAGCTAAGAGGACAGACAATACTGCTGAAGAAGCTTTTAGAGAAGAGCAATACTTAAAGAACAGGTGGTTTTTTTCAATTAAACAAGAGCATCAGAAACCCAAGTGGACCAGGTAATGCTAATTGGAAAGACTCTGGAAAAGAGAATATGGAAAGTTTTGTGGCCTAGAAGTCATGATCCATAGTGAAAGATAAAAGAAGCTCTTTCCATAAGAAGTGTAAGAGATGGCCCATTTAAGGTATATATCTGTCATGAAGGAAAGTTCTCTTTGATTGCAAATAGCTCTTTAATCTAGAAGATAAAAAGGTCCAAATGAACCTAGAGACTGAAAGACAGAAAAACTCAGACTACAAAGAAGACTCAGTTTTTAAACAACAAGTACAATTAACTACTAAAAAAAAAGAAACAAAAAAAAAAAATGTCATGAGCCATAAAGAATTCTATGATTTGAAAGTTTTCAAAAAATAGGTTATACCTCAAAAGTTTCATCCACGAATTGTATGAGATTCTTCTTTTTTTGCTTCTAAAGGCTACAGACATGAATCCATCTTCATATTTTTTTTCCTGTAAAAACCTCTTTTAAAAAGACCGACCTGACTGATTTAATCTTTTAGGAATGCTCTTTAAATCTTCATTATTCCATCCACTTGCAAATATAAAAGGAAAATATTTTTGAAGATCATTCACAAAGAGAGATTTCAGATCCTTTAGACAAAAAGACTTTGTATTACTACAATTTTAAAATTTTAACTGTGATGAATATCCAGACCTTTGTGGCACAACTGGAACAAAAAGATCTGATTTGGAATGGTTTTGGAAAGTGATCACCCCAAAGTTGTGGGTCTTTGGAAAACTGGCCCGAAGGATCAGCAGGGGAAAACTGAGAAATCCAGTTTTAATGTACACTTTCTGCTCCAGTCCCTGGGAAGCTGGAGTACTTGGTGGACACTAATAATAAAAAGAACTAAGACCCAAAGCAAAGTTCCTTTCCTTCATAAACATAAATATGGACTGAAGTCTCAAACTATATGCCTTTAAAAGAATAAACATATTTTCTTCTGTGTGCCTCACTTGTAAAACAGAAAGCAATTCTCTTGTGGTTTTTGAAATATTTAGGAATCTTCAGAATAGTCTACACAAGGATTAATGAGTTAATTGCCTTTTTAAATTACCACTTCAGAGATAATATCTCATTATTAAAAAAAAAAAAAAAAAAAAAAAAAAAAATTGCAAAATCAGCCATACATAAAAGTGAACAGGCACACACACATGTAATACCACCAATTAACAGAGAACATCTTTCCAAAAGGGGAATGGAACCAGCTCATAATTCTTATGCTAATATAGACTTTATTTGAATTGTTCTAAGCATGTATTACAGCGTCTAAATTACAGACCAGAATGTACTTTGATCCGGTATTTCTCTGAACAGTAGTGACTGTGATAAGTAATAATTTCTAATATGTTATTCATTCTGAGTACAATTTGATTACATCCTTAGTGGTACAATCAATAGAATCATAGAACGGTTTGGGCTGGAAGGGACCTTAGACATCATCTAGTCCAATCCCACTGGCATGGGCGAGGACTGATCAGGTTGCTCAAAGCCCCATCCAACCTGGCCTTGAGATGCTTTATGTCAGTGGTGTTTGTCATTACAGAAATGCACCCAACTTCATTTTACATAGCATAGAACAGAGAATTTGTCACAATGTAAAGCTGCAGGCACCAGTAATCCACTTAGTGGGTTTTATTTAAAAAGACTGCATTTGCTAGGGAGATTGCCTTGATAGCAACTATCAGATTGTTGGATCAGTTTCAATAACTTAAATTAAAGAAGCGTTTAATTTAAACTTGTGTTAGTTCACTGATCTCTTTACAATAATTTCTCCTCTGTGAGCAGAGGAGAACCTGGGAAAGTGCAGAAGAGAACTTGAAAAAACTTAGGAGGTCTCTATACATATTCAAGATTTACTGCACCTGACTATATTTTTTAATGTCTTCAGTAATAGACTGGTTCACATGAGAACAATTCTCACAGACATCAGTGAGCAGCTTTACCCTGACTTTATTAAGATCTAGACGAGGTTCCCAGGTCAATATCCATCAAAGAGCTATAGCCATTAAGGTGCTCAGTACTGATGTTGGGAACTCAGGTCTGGCAGCAAAAATTGTAAGGTTGAGGGCTATGTTTAATGCACCTTGTTAGCCTCCCTATCACATTTCACAAGAACCAGTGTTCAGACGGTTGAAGGGGAACCTTAGACTTACCAAGAATGAAAGCCAAAAGGAAGGACTTCACTGTCAGAAACACGGACTTACGGACTTGAAAGATGCGGTCAAAAAAAAAAATCCTGTGAAATTGGAACATGGAGCCTGCAGCCATATCTTGTCTTGGGATCTCTTTTTACTGATGTTGTCCTTTCTTTCATCCTGAACGACTGCCCAGCATAGGGAACCACTGGTAAGGGGAAGTTTCTACTCAGAAAAAGTATCCATATAGAAATTTCTATTTGAGATTACTGCATTTAATTTCTTATAACAATAAATAAGCCTCCATATCTTTCACTCTTGTCATCTTAGTAGCAGTCAGTTCCAAACAGAATACCCTAATGTGCACAAAAATATGCTACATTATGCTAAGCCACGACATGAGTCAGTAGGTAGTAGTATGCTAATACAATATCACCATTGATTTTCTAAGCTATTCCAGTACAATACATTTAGTACACACACAGCTATTGTCAATATATGCCAAATTGGCAACATTGCACCAATTTGGTCAAGAAAAATGAACAAAATTATTAAATGAATAGAATATGCAACAGCAATATGCTCAGGGTTTTTAGAATTCAATTGAATGGTTTCACAGTATCTTTCTATGACCATACCACAGATCTTGGTCACCTACTGCTTAATAGCTTTTCTCTTTTTCTTCCAAGAATTGATTCGCTTATACATGCACTCACATATCACTGCAGTTATAAGAAAAAAGAACATCCACATTCTAGAATTAGTTTGTTCAGCAAAATTGGCTTGAACTTAAAACCATTGGCAGAGACCTTTGGTGGTAATCATGTAGGATTCCCCTGAAATATTTTCCTTTACTACTGTGGTGGGCTGAACTTGGCTGGCTGCCACCTGCCCACCAAGACAATCACTTCCCTTCCTCAACAAGACAGGGGAAGAAAATAAGATGAAAAGTCTGTGGGTTGAGATGACAGGGAGATCATTACAGTTACCATCATAGGCAAAACGGGCTCAACTTGGGGAAATTAATTTAATTTACTGCCAATTAATAAGAGAGAAGGGTAATTAGAAATAAGAATAAATCTTTACCCCACTCCTCCTTCCTCCCTAGGCTCAACTTAACTCCCAACTTCTCTACCTCTTTCCCCGTGCTGTGCAGGGGGATGGGGAATGGGGGTTGCAGTCAGTTGACAACACTTCCTCTCTGTTGCTCCTTCCTCCTCAAGCTCTTCTCCTGCTCCAGTGTAGGATTCCTTTAATAGGATCCTTCTCAAACTTCTCCAACATGAATCCTTCCCAGTGGCCACAGTTCTTCACAAACCACTCCAGCATGGGTCCTTTCCATGGAATCCAGGTCTTTGGGAAAGGACTGGTTCAGTGTGGGTCTTCCATGGGTCACAGTTCCTGCCAGGAGCCTGCTCAAGGGCAGGCTGACCGTGGACTGTAGTTTTCTTCAGTATGTATCCACCTGCTCCGGCGTGGAGCCTTTCCAGGCTGCAGGTGGGTCTCTGCTCCACTGTGGAGAGCCATGCGTGCCGGGGCACAGCTGCCTCCCCATGGTCTTCTCCACAGGCTGCAAAGGGTATCTCTGCTCAAGACCTGGAGGATCTCCTCCCCCTCCTTCTTCACTCACCTTGGTGGCTGCAGAGTTGCTTCTCTCACATATTCTCACTCCTCTCTCTCAGTTGCTGTTCTGTGGTGGTTTGTTATCCTTTCTTAAACATGTTACCACCATTGCCGATTGTCTCAGCCTTGGCCAGCAGCGGGTCCATCTTAGAGCTGGCTGGAACAGGGTCTGTCTGACATGGGGGGAGCTTCTGGTGTATTCTCTCAGAAGCCACTCCTGCAACCACTCCTCTACCAAAACCTTGTCATGTAAACTCAATACAACTACTTGTGCAAGGTAACACCCTAAAGGCTTTAGGTCATAACACACTCAGAGGACTGATTTCAATGCAAAACTACATACATCAACATGCAATTGATGCCACTTAGTCAGACAAAACAGCTTAGTGATTGAAGTCCTTAGCCTGGAGAAAAAAGGCTTTGGTTCCCTGCACCAGGGAAGGTTTAGACTGGATATTATGAAGCATTTCTTTGCAGAAGGGGTTGTTGGGCGTTGGAATGGGCTGCCCAGGGAGGTGGTGGAGTCCCCATCCCTGGAGGGGTTTAAGAGTAGAATCGACATGGTGCTGGGCGATCTGGTGTAGTTGGGGACTGTCAGTGTGAGATTAATGGTTGGACTGGATGATCTTCATCATCTTTTCCAGCCTAGATGATTCTGTGATTCTGTGAGTCTATGATTATTCTTAGTCTGAGGAAACCGAGACATAACTGGTTCTCTCACCCCTTACAACTTAATGGTACTAGAATTTCATCAAGGTGTTGCCTAAATAGAACAGTGTCCATGTCTGCTACTGAATTGTAACTCCAAGAAACAAACAGTACAAGAATTGTAGGCAGAAGAAAAAGTATGAAATGCAGAAGGGAACATAAGAACCATTATACTGAATCAAACCAAAGGACAAGCTAGCCCCATGGCCCATGGTATACTGCTTAGAGGAAGAATATTATAAATCAGTCATGTACAAGGTTATTCTAGATGCTGTCTTTCTGTTTACCCACCACCAGTACTGTCTGTTATCCCTTATCCAAGACTTTTCCCATTTTTGGGGATGCTCAGAACTTCTTCAGATGATCAGTCACACAATTCAGTTATTTTTCATCTCTGTGAAAAATAAATTGAAAAAAAGAGACCTGCTTTCTGATGTTTTAGTTGCATGACTTCTAGTATTGTGTACTATGCAGCATACCTCCTCCACATTATGCCTAAACTCATAAATCTCAAGGCTGAAGTTTCATTTACTTTTCCATCAGAAGCTGTTCCTTACCTCACATTATGCATTTTCTTCTTGACTACACTTTTATTTGGTCCACTTTGTCATTTTGGAGCTAGGAAAATAAAAACAAGACACAGGGTTAATGACAGAGTCAATGTCAGAAACATGCGCATTCATTTAGCTCTTACTACCATAACAGGATTCAAATTAAAACCAAAAAAAACCCCAGTAATGTTAACTCAGAGCTAATTGTTACGTAGGTAGACTTAGGCTTGATTTTCCCATGTGCACTGAGACACTTCCCAGGGCAGAGTAAGTATCCTATGGTTTGATGTCTGTTTTTAAGATTATCTTTTTGCCCAATGACTGTTTAGTATAAAACACATTAAAATAAGAATGCAGAGAGCTGTCTTTCATCTAATGAAGGGAGGCTTCAAGATGCATCTCATTTTAAAATGCAAAGTTCAGGTGTCTGAACAATTTGCTGGCTATCGTGAATACCTCCTTGAAGTACTTAATCCTCTCCACACATTGTGTATATGAGTCAGACGTCTCAGGAGACACAATTCCAATTTATTTTTTTTTTGAGCTAAGGATAATAGGAATTATCACGCCTACATCTGACTGTGTTATTTCCCCAAAATCACGCAAGAAGTAGTAAAACATCTCAAATGTAGAATATCTGTGAGAACTAAACATAAGATTATATGGGAACATGTAAACAGCAGTGCAAAATGCATCTCCAGTCAGGTAGCACGGAATTTAACTGCCTGGCACTTTTGGCCGTTTGCTGATTTAGCAATTTATGAAGTTAAACCCTATAGTAGAATTCATTAATTTCTATAATGTAAATTATTTCTTCAGAAGTGTATTTCCCATAAGTGAGATGGTTTTGCTGTGGCCATGAATAAATCAACAATAAAATAATCTTTATAGGCAGTGCTAAAAAAAGCCTGACTCAGGGGGGAAATCTGAGCATAAATAACAGAGAAAAGTTTACAGAAAAAAAAACCCACACAAACTCATTAAAAATACATTTATATTATGGAAAAAAAAAAAAAAAAAAAAAAAAAAAAAAACAATCTGCCTAAGCCTTGCATTGCAGATCTGACATTCATTGTATTGATCAAAACTCTGTTTTGTCGGGGAAATGTTTGATAATATTATTTTGACATAAATTCAGCAACCAACAGGACACAGAGAAATCTTTAAGGTCTAATATGCAGTTTTGAGGCTTTAATCAAGAAAAGAATGATGACCAACATTTTCTTGAGTGACTAATGATTTGAGCTATATTATTCCCTGTGTGCTTATCTAGAGATGCCTTGAAGGAAACCAATAGAGGAAAAGAAGCAGTCAGCATTTTCTGACAACTCTCTTTTCAGGGTGCTACAAAAGTGGCGCCACAAATCACGACACCTCAGCTCACTTTTCAAAATCTGTCGGTGCATTCTGTATTTATACAGTTACCTTTATGTATAGATTTGTATATAGGAAGGCAAGTAGATTGTGTTGCTGCTCCTTTGTCTTAAATGAGCTTTTAAGGATGTGAGCACGTTTCTGTGAAAACAAAAAACAGATAAAAATCAAACAAAGCTTTTTTTCTTCCTCGGGGATACGTAGCTATGCAATTCCTGTTAGATACATGCCAAAAAGCTCTGGCTCTCTGATGGGGCTCAAGAACACAGAACTGCTTCTCCAGGCTCCTCTGGTCGCTCACATGCTGCAGTTCAAAGACTGTAGGTATTGTATTATTGCTCAGGGAAGCTGCGTGGGCAGAGAGCAGTAGATAGACCAAATTGTTCGCCTTGGTACTTTATTATTTGCAGGTCTCTTCCTCAAATTGGTCTTATTTCTTCTTCCAGTCAAAAAGGGAATAGCTAACATTAAGTGCGTTTTCGAGCAGAGTTCACCTGATGGTGACTGTCAGCACCTTCCTTCATCAACTAGACTCATACTACATATATTTTTGTTTATGTGTACCCAGAGTTAAGTTTTTTCAGGGTAATATGTTCTTACAGTGTCTACATTGGTGGAACCTCACTATCTCATCCTATAACTTTTATCTACACCTGTAGAAATAAAATATAAATAAATATAAAGGTATGTAGGGCAGGACTGGCAGTACTCTGTTTTTATAACAACCTGGTTTTAATAGGTTATTAACTACCTTTACATTTTAAGCATCTGGCAAAGTCAAATTTGTTGGATTTATTTTGGCATGTTTTCTTCAGCATGCAGGCATATTTCATGGAGGTCTGGGTTTTTTTCCTTTGCTTTGAAGAAGACAGAACGGTTGAGAAAATATTGTTTCAGAGAAAAGTACTATTGGCAAATACTGCTTTGTCCACTCTAACAAGCCTTTAGAGACATTCCCTGTGAAATGACCTTTCATAGTGTCGTCCTTTGAAAAAGGAATGTGAAATTTGCAAAGGGTCGTTTGATATCTAGAACATGCCATTTTCTGGCCTCAGGAAAATACAGCCACACCAGAATCTTCTGGGACTTGCTCAAGCATCTGACACTACTACCAATGACTGAGCTATATTTCGCTAGTGTCCCCACAGAGTGGCTGCACTCAGAAACACTTCCCTTAACAATGGCTTCCCATTTGTCCTCTCCCTTGCCATTGCTCAGTCCAGCTACATGATGCTCTCTCAATGAACTGCAGCATTTTAAATGAGCCTTGTCCATCCCTGTGCACTGAATAAGGAAGAAATTTTGAGGAGAAAAATATTGTTGTACAAGTATGACCAGAGAAAATAAGACAGAATTAATTGGCCAGGCAACCTTATTTGTGACATCTCCTAACTTGTGAGAGCTTGATTTGTCAGTCTTGATATTATTTTTGCAGACTTTGTGTGCAACCTATTGCATGTATGTCTGATTCTGATTCAATAGTACCTGAAGCTAAAGGTCAATCAACTGCTTATATTTCATCTGAATTAAACCATACTATTTTCCAATAACGGAGGCTGAATACAAGATGCGATTATGTTTTCACATCATGTATATGTGTACTCAACATATTTGTCTTTGTAACACCTAAAGCAAAATAATATGAGTTGAGAAAGATTTTTACATTATGTGTGGCTGTGGAAAAGTTCCGTTTATTTATGCTTGCTGTTAATTGTGAAGCAGTACATAGTCACATTAACTTTAATTAACGGTATTCCTGAAGTCATTACTTCATTTTTGCAGTAAAAAAGCCTGTTAAATGTGGTTTGTGATAGACATACATAAAGAAACTATAAAGAGTGTGGGAGACAAATCAATGAAATAAATATTTACAGATGATTAAAGTCTGTAAACTATGTATCTTCCAAAGAACGTAACTTTCCTGCCAAACAACCTATTGAACTTCTTAGGCTCTTTAACTCTTCTTCTATCTGGTGAATATATTCTAATAAGAGATAGAATATTGCTAAGTTTCAGAGATAACTGACTCCTGAGACTACAACCTTCATTGGTTCCGTATGATATTGGGGAGAACTTGGAAACATGCAAAAAATGTAGAACTGACAATACATCTCCTACTATTCCGAATACTTCAAGGGTAGCCAGTCTTACTGATCCTGTCCAAGTACCAAACTCATTGTATAACCAAGAGGCAACACATACTGTATGCTTTGAAGAAGGTGAGAAAGAAAGTTCTGGACCACATTTACAAATACAAAAACCTTCCCAAAGGTCTCACCATTACATAACAGAATAAGTTTCAAATGGGTATACTTCTGGGGTACAGAGAACTTCAATAACGTCAACTTCCTTATTGGCCCACTAATAAGAATATAATATAAGAACAGCTAAAATGGGTTGTATCCTCAAATCTGGCCACTAACAGATACTTAGGGAATAAGTAAGAATAGTGTGAGTGTGTATTGTACTTCTTAAAATACTCCACATCTCCATAGGAACTTCTTTGACTAAATTTCATTTCCATATATTTAGTAACACTTGAAGGATTTCTCCTTCATGAACTTGTGCAGTTTTCTCTAGAACCAACATAAATTTTTAGTGCTCACAGTTTCCCTGGCAAGTAATCAAGGGGGGATCTGGAAAAGAGAGTATGAAAAGTTTTGTGGTCTAGACGTCATGATCCATAGTGAAAGTAAAAGCTTGTTTACTGTTTCTACAAAGGACCACCTCCTTCTCTTTGGGTTGAAATTGGTTCATTAAGTTCATTGAGTTGGTTCTTCTGTTAAAAAAGAACAATCAATCCATAGCTATACTATTTTCGTTGGGGTTTTTATCATTCATGATTCTGTAGTTCTCTGCTACACCCTCCCCTTCAGTTATTTCTGTTCCCAGCTGAGTCCTGGATGATTTCATTGTTCTTTGTACATAGGTCATCCCATATCTCTCAGCATCCTCACTCAACACCTTTTACACTTTTCTATATCCAGACAGGTTCCACAGTTCTGCAGCTGGCAAAATAATGCAGCTTGTCAGGGGAAACGTATTTGAGTGGCTGATAACCTGTATGTAACTCAAGAGCACATCCTGGTAACACTTCCAATACACTCTCTTTAGCCACGAAGGTAGAAATGATTTTAACATCATCTAATTTTAGTGTAACCCCCTACATCAGAAGTTCCTATTAGCAATAAATTAACCTTCAATATATCCCAACATTGGATAAAGCAACCCCCAAAAATATACTGTGACAAACTTTGGAGATAGGTTTTCCTCTTCTCATTACCATCCCATTTCCTCTTGGAGTCTCATCACAAGCCTACAGATCTGCTTCCTGAATTCCATAGTAGCCTGAAAAACATTTGGAAAAGTCAAATAAAACACCTGGAACAGAGCTTTGAACTGCATACATCTGGAAGCTGGGTTTGCTCGTTTGCAATTACTGTGAATTTTCCTTGTCTCTAGTGACAAGTAGGACATGTCTGGGTAAGTTCACACTCTCTAAGTGGGAAGTCTAGGCTCTCTATAGTCAATGGACGCAGATGCATGTTTCCAAAGGAGAGTCAAGCACCTAGTGAAGGCAGTGATTATAGTCTACAAGGTCTGCACAATGCAGTTCTCTGAGATCCAAAATCCATGCATCGGCACTTTGTGCCTCCATTCGTGCCTTACTTTCTGCCAGTGAGATCCCAGAAGTG